TCCCATCTGTGCCCTCCCCCTCAATATTTCCTTCCCCATCCGTGTCCCCTCCCCTTAATCAATATTCCCTCCCTCCATCTGTGCCCCTCCCCCTGATCAATATCCATCCCCTCCCCCACCAGAGCCCCCTCCTGCACAATGTCCATTGATCTCCGCCTGGTCAATTCTTCATGCCCTCCCTGTCGTTCGCCATCAATCCCCCCAGTCCTGAGTCAGCCATCACTTTGACCCCCAGATGGGGTTCCAGGGACTCTGACACCTCACCCCCTTTTCTGTGTGATAGCCCCCCCCCCACCTTCCCGCTCAGGAGCCATCACACCCCTTCAGTAGATGAGTATCCTGAGGACCAGAGGGGGTTAAGCCACCACATGCCCTAAGCCACACTTGGTGGCTCAGCCAGCCCAGGGGAATGCAGAGCCCAGACCTCACCCCTGGCACTGCACTGCCTCTGTCTTCCTCTCAGTGGAGGGAGAGGATGTTGAGTTGAGGGTGCCGCCCTGTTCCTGGGGCCAGAGCAGGGCAGCTGGCCTGGGAGGGGAGGAAGGAGGAGGCCGGGCCAAAGGGAGGCCGGCCACCACTGGAGAGGGCCACGCCCAGAGTCTGTCTGGTTGCCAAGGGAAACCAGACATGAGGTAATGGCCAAGATGAACTTGAACTTGGTTGGAGGTGGGGGTTGGGAGCCACAGCGCTAGTGGGGTGGGATGGCCCAGCCGCTGCAGGGCACTCTGGTTGAAGGCCTGGTCGGAGGAGATACGATTGATTTATAGCAGGGGCGGGGGACAGCACTGCCCTGGCCTCAGGGAAGGGGTGGTGGTCCCCAGGCCCACCCCACAGGGGCAGGCATCCGTGCAGCAGCTTCCCTGTGGAGACACACTGAGCTGTCCAGGGCAGGCCTGGCCTCCCTTCCGGAGCCGCTATCTCCCACTGTGCGAAGTGGGGTCCGAAGTCCCTGAGGCCCAGGCTCGGGGGTCAGTCCCGGGCAGAGGGAAAATCCAGGACTGGAGCATCTCAGGCCAGAGTGTAAACTCCGCTTTCTGCGTCCCACGCTGGTGACCTTGGGCAAATTATTTGACTTCTGTGATCCCCAGTTTTCTCCACTGGGTAATGGGGTGGGTCCTCCTTCACAGGGGTTTGGGGGGATCATTAAGTGGGAGAATGTTTGTTTAAAAAAAGAAGCAACCCTGGTCACAATACCTGGATAGAGTGGCACTGCAGAAAATTGACTTGGAGGCAAAGTGAAACCACACACACACACCCCTCTGTACTCAGGGCAGTGGGGTTCGGAGTCCCGTTGCCCAGTTACAAAGCACAACTACAGGACGCTCAGTAGATGTGAATTCCAGATAAATGAAGGACTAAAACTTTTTTCTTTTTGGTACATGAGTATATTCCAAAAGCTCATGGTGTGTGCTATTACTGGAAGATTTATAGGGAATTCGATTTCACGGGAGCGCTGTGTTTTATCCAGCAGCCCTGCTCAGGGGTGAGGTCGCTTGCCCAGGGTCACCCCGCACGTGATGACAGACCTGGGTCGGGGGAGACAGAGGTCACAGGGCGGGGGTGGGGCAGAGGGCGGTGTGGGCAGTGGCAGAGCCTGACCTCGCTTTCTCTCTCTCTCTCCC